GTAATAATTGAGCAATATTCAATTTTGACACTGAAAAACACGTCTGAATTATTCAATTCAACTTTGTCATAGAGAAAAAATCTTGAAAGATGTACGAGGTGTTTTTAAAAGGTGGTGCAAAATCAATAAAAGATTATCCTATCGCATAATTACTTTAATGTTTACATAACTTGTAAGTGTCTACTTAAACGCATGCAACATCATAATACCAATTTTCTTCAAATTCACAAGTTAATGCATGTAGATTAATTGTATTAGAGATACGATCCGATAAGTTTATGAAAGTTGACATCAGAACGATTAAAGTTGAATATGAAGTTTTCGAGATATGAAATAGTTAAGTATCGGGTAGTTCATTATACTAGAAACATAACATTTTTAGTTACCTTGAACTGAAATATTTCGAAGAATCCATTGCGCTTTGTCGCATTTATACACATTTAGTGTCCTCCTATCTCCAGTTTTAATTATTAACAATATTGATGTTATTTAAAACATCAACAACTCGTTATAAATAAAATGTCACCGTGCAATATTCTAGTTTTCGAAAGTCAGTCGTTTGTAGAAAGCTAGACGGAACACATATTTATACACAAATCATGCTTATTACGTTTTACGAAACTATTCTTGCGGTGTATTGGAATTTTCATAACGGTAATTTTAAGCGCGTGTCTCCGGGATCACCAATAAGATGTTCTAGGTTATGATATTTTCACTATCATCGTCATTTTTGTTATCGTTTATTAACTGGCGAATTTATATGTTACGTAATTAGCAGAATTGTGTTTGTGTATCTTTGACCAATTAGCAGACATCGTCTTTATCGTATCGTTATGGTTCACAGATAATGTCATAAACGAAAAGTATTGACGAAATTCTTGTACTTCGCTATTTTTCGACAGAAAATTCTTCCATAGAGGTTAATGTATTATTCCTACACACACATCTTGTGAATATCCTCGGAAACTAAGGCCGACCAGCGGGAACATGTATAGGAAAAAGTTGTTCAGAATGATGACCTTCACAACATATGTCAAGGTCAAGGTCATCTGAGCTGGGTCCCTGTTTGTAAATATTTACCTAATAAAGTATTGAGGTATTATGTGGAAAAGTTACTAATTCCTGACGTATTTCATATAAAATGTTTGAAATATATCATGAATTGTTAATTTTTTCTCGACTTATCAGAAAATTATTACTGCTATGTAATGGTCCCTCTAATAGTATATAACTTATAATAATATTAATGTCTAACTCGGTTAGCGTCTTTTAGCCATTACCTTCTAGGTAGCACATGACGCCTTGAGGACGGCTTAAAGGCGCCTTAGACCTAAAACAGTCGTAAAATGGGCGTCTTCAAGGCGTCATGTGCTATTTGGGAGCTGTGATCCGCGAGAAAAGAAACAATGAAATTGCCACCAATATTCATACAGTTATCTGAGAAATTCTTGCGATCAAAACTGAACTTTGTCGTCGTGTATACATCGCGTTTAACGTCTAAGTGATTCCGTAAAATATCGTGAACAGCCAAACGTATAGGTATAGTGGAAGATTCATAACCCGGGTGTCAGAAGAATGCGGAGTTTCGATTGCGTGGCAATTCTACATGAATTTGCTTCAAGTGGAACTGAGGTCAATAATTTATGCGATTCGCTAGTCAGAGCAAGATCGCTCACGAGCGCAAACAGGTGTACCGGAAAAAACCTGATGATTCCGTGTAACGTCAGCCACGAAGTCAAAATTAGCTGCTGACTAAGGCTTCTTTCACACAAGTGTTTTTGCTGAATCTGGCATGCTGTGATGATAAGCAAAATTAAATGAATATTTATAGAATATATTCTAATACAGGATGTTCGTATACTAGTGTCAGAAACGTTGAATGACGATTCTACATGCCAAAAGAAGTTGAAAATCAAGAATAACGAGATTGTGTTAAAAGCGTTGTTGCTTAATTATTAGGTGTCGAAAATACGGGTGAAGTGCGTCTGACGCAGCGACGGGTCGTTCTACTTAAAAGGCACGCGAGTCAGCTGATTCACGGACTAAATTAATGACCGTTACTGCTCCAGCAATCTGCAGTGAGTGATCAAATTTTCAGTCACCTGCATAAATTGACGATTTCACGATTTTAACTGTACTTTTTATAATTAACTGTGTTTTTTTATAAAATTCAGCTTCTAATATGATAGGAGAAAACTGTGTCAAATTGACACAAGTGACGGATGAGGGTTAACACACATCATTACTTACCTGGCTCATAGGATAATGTCCTGAACGATTTACCACGTGGCAGCACGGTGTCCGATAGTGTGCTGCAGTAAAAATATTAAAACATTTCACAATTTCTGAAGCATTAAACTTTTGGATTAACAACAATCAACAACTGCACAACAGCTGTTCTAGGAGCGCGGTTTATTAAATTTCAAGAAACGAAACTTTTGCGGTGCATAAAACAGTTTCGTCTGTCATGACGATGGGCGCGCGAACGGAATTGGTAAACGGGTCACTGTCATTGGATAGTTCGTAAGACGGAATTGGTTTTCCGATATAATAGCGTCAGTTCTAGCACAGTTGACACGTCGACTACGAAGTCGACGTTACGAAGCGATAGAAAGAACTGCCCAACGATGAGCGAACGAAACGAGTTCCTGTCATTCCTTCCTCTTCTTGAGCCTGCCGTCGCCTTCACTTGCCTCGCTAACGTCATTGTACGCGATCATAGTCATGGGCTCATCATCTGACTCGATGCCTGGTGCCTCGGTGCTGCGTCTGACGTACGGTCGTATACACAGGTCCGGAAACTCCCGTGGTGGGGGTGATCTCTTGACAAAGCCAAGTGGACTTTCGAACTTTGCCACGAAGCGAGGGCACTACGGTCTTTCGATCCAGTCATGGACCTAGAAATAGGACCTTGCTTTTCTTTTGACCGCACATCGCAGAGAGATAGGAGCAGGCGACTGGAGGGCGATGAGGAGAAGGACTGTTACACGCATGTAACGCCGCCACTACAGCCGTAGGAGTATTCCCCACCAACAGGCCCATTAGAAACAGAGGAAAGTTACTCCAGTTATTGTCCTCTCTTTCTAGTGCCGACTTCATCCCTATCATAAGACCGCGCAGTCTATTATACATGTCTATGGTACACATATCTACGAACAACTGTCGTCTTCACCAAGCACAAGATTTGAAGTTTAAAAAATGTAGATTAATACAATTTATTGCTTTAGAAACAGTAGTCATAAGAACATTGTTACAATCATATATAAATGTTTGCAACAGTTGTCATTGGGCACACCTGTTAAGCACATGTTTACTTCATATTTGAATAGGTTTCACAGCGTTATATGGACAGCATTCGTCTTGATCAAGCACTCGACGTGTAGCTTAAAGAACGTAGATTAATCCATTGATAATAACAATAAACGATCAGAACACTGTTAAAATCAGATTTAATCGCGGAATACCACTATTTTTCGACCGGTGGCGCCACTCGTGGCAATTCGCTCAAACTGCTAGCTAAATCATACCGATAGGTGAGTGAAAATTCCTAGTGATGGAAAAAAGCGAATATCTCAGTAATTAAACGCTGAAAATGAACGTCATTAGTCTCAAATTACTCCCGACGATCCCGTGCATCGACCCAAAACCGCAGAACCTCATAATCTGAATATGATCATTATCCTTATGATCATGAATCATTTTAGACCTCATAACTCTGATAACACAGTACAACACATAAAATTTTTTGCAATTGTCAATAAGCATTTCTGATATACCTTTATGAGCTAAATACGAATCTGCAAACCGTTTCTTTCCAGCACGTCCAGTTGTTGAAAAAATCAAATTTGAAATGTGTCGTGCCTTTACAGTAATAGTTATTGAGTTTCTTTTTACAGAAATTAATTCTCTGGACTCTTTCAAACAAAATGATGTAAATTGTTATTAGATTATAGACATCTAAATATGTTTAAATAATGTTCACAGTGAAAAGCAAACCGAAAATGCACTACTTTTTGTTGATATTCTTTAATTTATTTAAAAAACTAAAGGTCTAGGAGAAAATCTAACCATAGCACGCGATAGAGCAGACCTTTCTGCTTAGGAAAGTGTCAAGGAAAGATACAAAATCTGTTTTGTTTTAAACAGCAAAACCCGCGGCGCCGACAGTGGTGGCCATGTGCGCCTAGCGCTTCCGTTACGCTAAGCGGCAGGCAAGGCGACCGCTGTCATTGAGTACTACTTCGCCGCCGCGTGTTTTGCTGAACTATTTGGCTTCCCTATTTAAAACAAAACAAATTTTGTAACTTTCCTTGATCCTTTCCTGAGCAGAAAGGTCTGCTCTATCGCGTCCTGCGGTTAGATTTTGATTTGGATTTTCTCCTAGACCTTTAGTTTTTGAAATAAATTAAAGAATATCAACAAAAAGTGGTGCATTTTCGGTGTGCTTTTCACTGTGAACATTATTTAAACATATTTAGATTTCTATAATCTAATAATAATTTATATCATTTTGTTCGCAGGAATCCAGAGAATTAATTTGTGTAAAAAGAAATTCAATAACTATTACTGTAGAAGCACGACACACTTCAAATTTTATTTTTTCAAAAACTGGACGCGCTGGAAAGAAACGGTTTGCAGATTCGTATTTAACTCATAAAGTTCTATCAGAAACGCTTATTGACAATTGCAAAAATGAAAAAAAGTTAAAATTTGTTGAACAGTGTAACTGATCGAATTTTGATACACCGTTTGAGGGATATACTTCCGGGCTCTAAAGATTTAAAAAATGCCAATAACAGAATCGATTTTTTTGGTCCTAAAAATAGAGAATGGCCCCGTAATCTACGGCAATGAAACGAATATTATTCCCTTCGGAGTCGTCAATCGATCAATGCTGTCCGCGTAGTAACGTGGCTCCAAGGAGACTCCGAACTGTTTTATTCGTACTGATAGAAATTCGGAAGACACACGGTACAGTGGCAATCAATTCATACGAAATAATGTCGAAAATTACTAGTGCCACAGGATTAATGGATGCACGTATTCGACTAGTACAGCGTCCTGAAACTAAGGTACTTATATAAATATGTTTATATACACAGTAGAATCAATTTTGTACGAGTAAAATCCAAGCCAAATGCGGAAACAGATAGCTACAGATTTATAGACAGATTTCGTCGTTATCTGCTGCCAATATGCTACCAATCTGCATGCATATGATTATCTGGGTTACATTTGCGTAAGATTTTATAATCAGTACAATAAATTGTAGCTCAATTGATGTCCCAGACAGGAATATATTTTGTGTTGCAGCGTGTGGAACTTTCAGGATCTGCTAAACCAGCTCCTTTTATACTTCGACCCTTTTCTGGTCTTTTCAATCCTTACCCTTATGGTTGTTCTGTACTGTGTAATCATCCGGCCGATTGTGAAGCGAAAGATGTTCTACGACGAGCTAAAAATTCATGGGTAAGAACTGTCACTTAAATTAATGAAAAGTACTAAAAATTGTGCAAAAGAGTGGGAAATAAGTTTTGTTTCCCGACACGATATAAATTATTGTCAATTGACTTTGGTTGAATTAAAATATTTGTTTCTTAGGCAACCGAGGGAAAAGCTCTCTTGTTGCCAGAAGAAATGGACATGATTAGAGCAAGTGTAGCGGCTGCTGCCGGTACGATGGACGCATTTGGACATGCCGAAAACTTAGAAATGATTAACGTTGATCCAACTACCGTCCCCGAGGAATTATTTCGAAAATATACAGAGACAGATTCCAGGCCATTAACTCCAGCTCCCACTCTTGCTAGTGGACCCGCGTTAACAAATAGACCCCAAGAGGAATTTCTGACAACCTGCAATCCACAAGAACGGACTACGTTGATCTTAGATCTCAGAGCAAACTCGAAGAAACAAACGGTTTGTAATGAGTAGACTGCCGATTTTTATGCCAAATGACATTTCATACGGTAATTACTAAAGACAAGAATAAAAGTAGAAATTTCATTCCCTCCTTAAGCATTTTATTGGACGAAGAATAAAATGGCAAATTCGTTACATCCGATGAAAGTTTTGTTTTTTATTGTATCTGATAATGATTTATATTCAAATAACGATCTATATTCTTTACATGTTTAGGAAAACGAAACTTTTACGTGGCACGCTTTGACTTTAGAACCGCCGCCAACTTCTCGAAAAACCAATATTACTATACCAAAATCACCTCTCCGACATCGATCACGTTCGCCGAACCCATCAACAAATGTGTCAGCTTTGTCCGCATGTGAAGACGCACATGAACCGGTAAAAATTTTATCTAAAATTCCAGAGTCGATTTCATATTCAAACAGGGAATCCTAGATAGTTTAAAGAGGCTGCTCTATAATTAAAAATTTGATATTTTTTTTAGAATTTCTTTCCAAGGTAAAGTGTTAAGTAAAATTCTATAACACTTTTCCTGGTCATTAAGAGATACATACACGATGATACGAGATTAATTTATTAACTACTAAATCGGCTTAGAACAGAAAATAAGAGCTATGTCTCTGTTTTTCGAAAGAAGAGCCCCGAAAGGTAGGCCCGACTTTTCGCGGTGTTGTCGCGATCGCGAGACATCTACGGCACTTGTGTCTCTCCTACTCCTCGCGTCTTGGCCAATGACGTTCGACCGTCGACGTGCGTCCTTGTCTACGGTCGTCTGTCTCCATTGCACGTATTACAAATCTCTCGAGAAGGACCTACCTACAGTTTCAAGTAGTGGGAACTGTGTTCGGCACGCGCCCGTCAATCATCTATTGTCTGGAAATTGGCGGAGAATGTTGACGAGACGCTGAACGTTTTCACACGTCAAGAGTTAAAATACATGAATAAGAAAAAGTTTATTTCTTTTGAAAGAATGTATTGTATACAAATATTGAGCAACATATTAAAAGGGGATTAAATTACTACGTAGGTTATTAAACGCTACACGTGGAAATCGCAAGATAAAGAAGGAAGTTGGTTTACCGAGCGTCTAAGCGGGAGGTTCTCATGCCAAAGTACCGGAGGATGGAAAGAGACACATAGTGGCATTGAGACCGTGACAACGTCGCACGAAATACGCAGCTCGCGTTGGATCCCCACCAGGCCACGCGCCGAGGCAGGGCGATCCCCGAGGGCTCTTCTTTCGAAAAACAGACGATAGTTATAATCTGGAATAGTATTGAGTTACGATTATGTCACAAAGCTAATACCTATTTTAAAATACGCTATTTCAAAATAGCAGTGTTCTAAACGAAAATACCGTTTTTATGCTTAAGAGGTAAAATGAGGTAATGAGGGTAAATCTATGATAGTAGTCTTCATAAATTTTATTTTACACTAATATTACTTTTGTTAAGAGTTCAAGCAGAGATATAGAAGAGGAGAATTCAGGAAGAATCAACAAGGACTTTGTAATTATTCGCCGGAGAGGAAAGCGCTTACGGAAAGGGAAAAATCGGAGTGGTTCGACATATAGGCAACATACAGAAGTTCACGATTTATTAGAACCAACTGAAACTCAAATATCGCACATAGGAGATGGTTCTAGAAGAACTTCGTTAGTACAGACACATTATCTTCTAATTGTCAGTAACACCGAATCACTAAGAGACAGTTTACAAAGTTCTTGTTTCTCTTGTTTTCACAACACTTTATCGTTATATTCATCCACTTCGTCACATCGTTTCATTATATTATACTGAAACTGTTTTGCTTGTGTAAGGTAAATAATGAAATATTTACACTTTGTGTATGTTTTTTTATTGTAGAATTCACACGTCCAATGGTGATACAGAAAATCCGTCTTTAACCCCGAAGAAAGCAACAGCTTTAACTAAAGTACCTTCCATAATGTCGACCAGTTTCATTGAAATCGATATTTTGAAACATTTACTCAGGGAATTAGATCGAGATAAAATAGAAGCAGAATTTTCACTTAAGGTGAGATATGTGATTAAATTACATTTTTCAGGCAAATTGAGCAGATGTAAGAGTAGTAGCAAGAATTAAAGTGTTAAGATCGATTTAAAAATCAATCGTCATTACTCACGACTATGTTGAACACAGAAATTTCCATGAACGATAGCGACAATATCGAGGGTAATAGTAAGTTATTTTCTTTCTGCCACATCAGCGAAGACTTGCCTTTGAGGAAGCCCTTCGAATTAAAGGAGAAAGCTATTCACGTGGAAGAGGATACCACACACCTTCGAACCCCAAAATAGAAAATACACCAAGAGTATTTTCCCGAAAAGTAGTTCGTTTCGAAATTCTGGGCAGTGAGAGTCTACTTGGTACGCATAAAAAAAATGCTTATTGAATATTACAATATTATTGCTGTATGTAGATAAAATCAAATATTCTTCCAGGTTTGACAGTATTAGATTACATCGGTAAACACGTATTCGTTTCTTCGGGGAGAAAATTAATTTTTGGTAGAATTTTTAACAAATTTCAAGAAGAAACGTTACGAACTATTACAAGGTATATTTCATCTACAGACATTCGCGAAGCGCTTGAGGAAGTTATTGGAAAGCTGATAACCGCGGAACAAGAAGTATATTTAAAATCAATGATCGGTGAAATCAATGAGTCACTAAATTTTCGAAGTTGGTGTGGTTTGTGTGCTACAGTGGAACGATTACTATGCCCACTTCCACACAAAGAAATTGATCCGCCATCATGGTTGGAAAGAGTCGACTTTGAAGCTTTGGAACGAAGACTTAAATCCGTCGATGTGAATCCTCAGTTGGCTATATTTTTAAGGGAAATTCGGGACAAATAAAGTAGTGAAACGAAACTCAACACTGATTAATAACAATCGTACTGACAAACTTTGCTACTCGAAATAAAGTAATATTATCACTAATAGTAGATTCCGTGAAGGTTTTTGCGTTTATTTACATAGTAGATTTGAAACCAGATAACTTTAATCATGAAAACAGTTTCCATTACATTTGCCAACTTTTTTTACAACGTTCATTCTTATTCTTTTAAACTGAAACTGGAAACGTCAGTTATTAAAATATATAATGATTTTATAGGTTAGAATGAAGTTGTCTTCTCAATAATACGATTACCGACATCTAACTGAAAAACCCGACCTGACTCTATACTGTTATTACTCACACTAAAAGTTTGCATACTGTTACGATTAAGAAAAATTAAAATCAATCATCTCATGCATGCGATGATTCGGGAAAATGAACAAATTTGTTTTAGTAATAAGTAGCTTGTAATATCTTGTGTCGTTACACATTTATACACTGCAGTATTGTAACAATCGTCATTGAATATTTATAAGATCTTAATAATTTCTCATTTTGGGTGCAGAATAATAAGTGGTATGATTTGCATATTTTTATTGTATGTTCATATCGGGTAAGTACTCATTGCTAAACAGAGCTATTTTTTCTTGGGAAGTATATGTATAAAACTTGCATATTACATTATCAAAACTTGTATGTAATGCTATATAAAGAAGTAAGAACAAATATTGTTTTTCATTTAATGTCAGATTTTTTTCGGTACACTCGATTTCCTTGTTCTTTTCATATTGAATACAGGACCAAGTGGAATAAAAAGAAACGTATACGAAAATTACGTTCGTCGCACAATTTTATTGCCGAAGCGAACTAGCTAGTACCTACTCGAACGTATACAATTATTATAACCATCTTCGGTTGGCTACCGGTAATGTACACACGGTTCGAGCTCTTCTCTCATTTCTGTTAACACAATAAATAAAACGGTTTCGCGCACGTTACTGATACATAAACACAATATAAAATTGTTCTGCATTAGTAAATAAATTAAGTAAACGAACGGGTATAGAACGGTGGAGAAGTACAATCAGGACCAGGACATACTTCGTATCGATATAACAATAATATACTACTGGTTGCATTTTCGTATCGTCTGCATTTTCTGTGTGTACACTAAACGCCAAATAAGAGCATAACTGTTCCGTGCAGCTGGAATGAGCACCAAATGTCTCTCTGTAACATAGGCGATAGAATTTGTCATACATGGGGTGACATAATGAAGTATTTCTCAAGACATGAATACTTATGAATTGGCACGTTTGTACTTCACAGTCATTCGATGTATGATGCTACACGAGGCATAATGATGCTCAATTGTTTAAGACGTTGGTAACTAAGATAACCGAGAGGAATATGCGCAAACAAGACAGAAATTCGTCATTTCGCAGTTATGGTCTTATTTGGTTTTTAGTGTATATGGGTACGTGTGTACGTGTGTCTGTTGTGCGGATTTCGACTTTGTAGAGTGATATACTGATGGGCATCGATCAAGTGCTAATTCCTACGTCACATTGTACACAGAGCTAACGTACAAATATAACGACGTGACGATTCGTACGACACTACATTCTAGAGTCTCTATACAGCGCGACGCTAGTCGCCGTTCAAAGGGAGTTTCTGTGGGGCTGTTCCGAGATCTAGATACTTTTCGTTCCGGTTGCGAAAAGTCGCCACTCGGTTGTCATTCTCACTGGGAATTCTTCAATGGTCTCTGCGTTGATTTTCAGTATAAAAAAACTTGCTGCTGCTGCTGCTGCTGCTGGGGGGCAGTGGGGCTGGAGTGTGACAACGGCATACATCATACATGTGTCAGCAATGGGCTAGTTGCCGTTCGTGGAGCGCTGCAACGCTGGGATCATCGCGTCACGATCAGTCCCATATATTTTACCAGCCTTCTTGGCTATGTTACCCAGCATTTCCATAGAACACTTGTGCGCAGACCTCAGCGATACTGCCCACTCCTTTAGACTGATTTCGTCCTAAAAACGTAATAGCATATGCATTGGTGTCCCCATAACAAATGGGTTCGCACGGTCCTGCTTCCAGTACGAAGTGCTGGGGCGTTTACCTATGGCCGTATTTGTTTTTATAATACCTTTATTGTAAGCCACACGTTATCATTCAGTATGGTAGAATTACGTGGGATATCAAAAAGTCTTAGACAAATTTTAAAGAAAATGTTAATTTAAGAGAAATTATGAATCTAAGGAGATTTATTTTTCCACATTGAAAATCTTTAAATAGTTTTAATAACTGCAAAAATGCAATGTAGAAAATATTACGTAAGTAAAGGGGAGGGAGAGGGATTGGAATATATACAATCTTACGAATTTTTATACAGAAGGAGGAAGGGGATAAGAAATCGCCAAAATTACCCTTACGTGATTTAAGGACGACTCCTAATTTGTAAATTCATAAATATTATTAGTTGGTAAATCGTTGTGCAAGAGATCCCGGGTCTTTGCTTTCAAAAAACAATCTGCAGGGGAAGAACAGTGGCCCTGTAGCAGTTGTACTTTCTACATTTACATAATTATACTTGATTACATACATTGATTACATAACTATATTAGTTTCTAAGTACTCATTATCACCAGTAATTTAGTACCAGGTTGTTACAAAATTTATCAATATGTTCAGAATACTGTATAATTTGCCAAACAAATATTTCGTACAGACAAGAAAGAAAAATGTACATTGTACTTATTAAAATCTACAAATTGAAAAATACATTACTTACGTGGTATGTGAGCACTATTTTCCCATCTTTTGTACGGACAACAATACACTGTTCTCCCTTTATGTGTTGAAGATCCGCGCTGACTTCTTCTATCTAATAATTAATTATATTTATTGTTATTTAGCATGAAACAGCATACAATGTGTAAAGGAAAGAAAAATGTTTAATGTTCGAATGAAATTATAATATTCCCTCACATAATCATATGATTCAATTCCTATAACATAATTATAAAGAATAGTTTTGCAATCATGTCATGAGGTTGATCGAAGGGGTACAAAGGCTTCAAAGATATAGCGTTAGCCATAAACCTGACCGACTCTAAAGTTGATGTGTTCGGTAACCTAATCCTGTCACTCGATACCCTTAAGTTGTAAAAATTATGCTCGATCAACGTTCATAGGCATACGTCAATTTGGGATCGGTTTTTCTGTGTTAATATAATTAAACAAATTCTTATAGCGTACTAATTTCAGATGTGAAATACTTGTGGCCCCTTTATTCTTGACGAAAGCTTAAAGTAGCGTACGACCCTTAGTGCAGTGGGACACAATGGGCCCTTGATGATCGAGTACTAATGATTTAAAGGTCGGCCACGTTTATGGCTAACGCTATATCTTTGAAACAGCTATATGTAAGTGTATATCTCCGTGGCTAGGGGATCCTTCCACGGCGTGTAGTCCTTGAACCGTAGGGGCGTGACTCCGGGAGAGTACTTTAAGGAAACGCGGGGAGAATTAGCAGTAGTGGGGGGCCCACGATGTCCTGGCGTCGCATGGGGAAACCCCCGAAAATCACTTGGCTAACTTGGATTGCGTCTGTTGCGTGTGCTAGTTGTGGAGCGTGAGTAGCGTGCGAGAGAAGTGGTGAGGGCGAGGCGCGAGAGAGAGAGAAGAACGGATAGGATGGTAAAACACCTGTAGCCTCTTAGGTAAGCTTCCTCAATTCTTTCTTAGTGGAAAAATCTCGATCTCGTAGTTAGCATGCTAACATCGCGATAGAATGGGTAGCTTTTGTTTAACACGGATCTGTCGCGTATCGCGGAACATGTGTTTGTCGAATGGAATTGAACACTGTAACTTACTCGCGGATTTCCTCCAGGACGCGGTGTAACATCAACGGTGTACTGAAGTTTTTGTACCGATAACTGTACGAGATGGTAGCGTAACATCGAGTTACTTTTGTTTGCGATTTATTTGGAATTGTTCGTACGGAGAATATTGTATCGGGTAATAGCGGACCAGTGAGCTACCTTTTGTTAAAATTGTTAAACCGTAATCTAATGTGACGATAGCCGACCACCGAGCTGTAAATTGTTTACGAAATAGTACCAACTGTTGTAACGCGGCCCCTTTTGGGCAGGCCAAAGATTTATTAAATGTTAGCTTGTCCTTTTGTTGCGCGTAACAATGTATACCTTTGAATGCTTTTATAGAATACTTTTGTAAATAATATGATTACAGGTTTAAATTATTTTTCTTCTTTTTTTTTATCTGCTTACCTGTTGAAGGAAAATTAATTCTGGTTTCACCGTAGACTCTGGATGTAGTTCCAATCGATTCGGATATAATTTCGCGTACCGTGTTTGCCACACACTGGCAAAAGAACCACCTAACTTCTTAATGTATCCATGTAAAATGCAATCTGAACCTACAATACATAATGTCGCGGCTGTAACAACAGCATTCAAAGAGTATAAAATGATTCTTACCTTTTTCATCCGTATCGAATCTCTGTTTCTGTTTTGCCTTCTTTTTATTTTCCAACTACAAAGAAAAACAAAATAAACAAATTAATGTTGAAATATTCCTCAGAGTTAAGGGATAAGAAAAAAAAAAGGTAACGAAGTAGAAACAGATTATACCTTATCCGCTTCGTTATTGACTGTTTCGAATACCGTTTCAGCAACTTCCGCCTGCCATCTTTCAGAAATGGTTAAAGGAAAATTTTTGTAAAGGTCTTGATCTGCTTCCGTTAGTTTGATACCCTTCGTGTCCTCTTCGTCAAAGGATCCTATATCAAAGGCGTCTGCGGCGTTCACTTCACCGCGTGGTGGTATAAGTGGTGGTGTATATTTCTGGAGATAAACTTGTTGCCAGTCAATACCACTGAAAAACGGATGTTCTTTTAACTCGTCCGCTCCTCCTCCCTGGCAACCGAGTCTGTTGTTGATGTCTCTCTCCAGCAATCCTCCCAGAAACGAACGTAGCTCTCGTGAAAATGTTTCCGGTAGTTCAACATTCTGAAATGATTTGATAACATTCGCTTCTATGTTGAGTACTAATTTCGAAATGTTTTAGTCAAAATATGATAACGAGTATTTTTGAACGTTTTTTTATAGTTCAAAAGTTACACTCAAATGTCACCTAAATTTCCGATCCGGACCACTGTGCGGCGGGTTAATCTACTCCAGTTAGTCATACAAAACACATCATAGAATTTTTCAGAATAATAAATGTAAAATACAAACCTTAGTTAGTGTCATTAGATCTATCTCGTGTTTGTCTTTCATCGTATGTTGCCTAAATGGACTGTGCCCCTTTACTAATTTATACAACACACAGCCAAACGAGAACCAATCCGCACTGGAATCGTAGGTTACACCTTTCGAAAGCACTTCCGGTGCCATGTATCCATGCGTCCCACTGAAACAAAAACATTTTTCATTATATCCACCGCCACATTTTTTACAAACATATTACAATTAAATTATAATAAAATTTACTTTAATGTTGCACTTATTTAAAATTATCTGCTGTAAAGTGCAAGTGTTTGGATGAAATAAATTTGTTTTCAACCCCCCACCGATGGTGGACCACTTTCCTGTTCTGCTCACGCAGAAAAATTTGTTGTATTGTTTCAATAATTTAATTGATATGATATAATTCAAAACGTTCATCTATATCGCATTTCTGACAACAATGCATTGACGTCTTTCTTTCCATGCTTTGAACACACAACAGGAAGGACATCTTCCTGTCGTATTACAGCTATCAGTACATGCATATTTCGTGAATAAACCTTCCATTACTCGAACTCTACAAGTTGCTTTATATTTCGTTTTGGTGTTTGTTTATACTAGGGCTATTACTTTTACCCGAGATACGACTCATAATTTTGTAACTTATGAACTGCCACGGAATTAGAAAATCTATATACGAAACATTCGCGTTTTACTACATATATCCTAGAGTACGTCATTACATTAATATTATATGTACACTAAAAACCAAATAAGATCATAACTGCGAAATGACGAATTTCGGTCTTGTTTGCGCATATTCCTCTCGGTTACCTTAGTTACCCACCTCTTCTCCCCTGTGTGGCGGGGGACAGAATACGCCCACGGTAATCCCTGCTTGTCGTAAGAGGCGACTAAAAGGGACTGTTGGGACCGCGGGACGCGGGACTGTGGCACCCGCGGTCCGGTGGGGGGGAGCTCCGCTTCCCCCACCACAGAGAGGGCGCTCCGCCGTCCACTGGCGGAGC